CTGTTGTGCTGTAGTTTTTTGAGTCGACTGTTGTTGTGGTGTGTTGATCTTCTGAATTTCTGGATTGCTTGCTGGCTTGATTCACTGCCTGACTGAAGGATTGATTGATGGATTGCTCCATTTGTTAGTCACAAGTCTAAAGTCTTCTTTTAGCACACGACTCCGCTTTTGTTCTGTCTGTTAAGTCCTGGTCGTTTGCTTGCCCACAGGCCGCAGGAAGAATTTGAACGGGGAGTGCTTGCCGCACATGATCGAGCATTCGAGGTGACTATGCCTTGTTCGTAGAGTTCCATTTCCGGAAATAGCAATGGCCTCCACCCTAAGAGCGGTGGCCTCCAACCTTCTGCATTGTTCTTTGTTTCCACTCCTCCCTTTTGGGACTGTATGCCCGAAAAGGACGGGCCTAAGATGCGAGGTGGAAATCAGTGCTAGGAGATGTCATCTTAGTTGAAGCGTTAGGAGCAGAGGTTCCTACCCAAGATCTGGGATGCCATGGGAGCTCTCAACATCACTGGAAAGGCAAGCACTGCGAGCACTGCGATCACCGGTCCTCGGAAAGGTTTCAGACGTCACCACTCACCAAAAACTAGAGTGCTTGAGAATATGTTTGCTTTTTTTCTTCTTTTGTTTTTCTCCTTTCCATTATATATGTCCCCAGAGCCCTAGGTTTTGTACATCGCTACTCCTTGAAACCGATGTTTGCGCATTATTTTTTTCTCAACATTCTCAATGCTCAACACTTTTTGACAATGAGTCTGGCGAAGAATACTCTACAAACAAGAACGCGGGCCTTAAGACACTAGAATCCTTTTCTTTTTTTGGCAAAGTTCAGGCACGCAAAAGGGCATTGGACAGCATTGACGAGGGCAGGAAGGTGCTATCAAATTCTCTCAAGCCGATAACGCTGAAGCTTCAATTCTCTCAGCCTCAAAAAAGGACACAAACTGTTCCTTTGGCGATGTCAGGTGGCCTTGAAACATTTGCGGGATCCTTCCTCGCCTGATGAGGTTAAGGCAACCGTTTTGTGATTGCTTTAATGTGTTTTTCTTTTTAAGGGTGGGTAGGCCGCTAGTCGAGGTGAGGTAGGTAGTAGATAGTAGAAGAGGTAGCTATTACCAGCAAGTAGCTACTACTACATATGGACGCAGGATAGCTCACGCTTCTCTCAAGGAAGCTTCCCCCACCGCCCTAAAGGTGGTGGGGGAAGCTTCCTTGAAGAAGCGCTCGCACTGATGATTTGGTTCCTAGATTTTGGGGAAACTTAAGGTTGGAGGCCATCGCTATTAGGTTGGAGGTCATCGCTCTTAGGTTGGAGGCCATCGCTAGGTTGGAGGCCATCGCTAGGTAGGAGGATCGCTCTTAGGTTGGAGGCCATTGCTATTTTTTAGTTTTACAGATTCAATTTAAGCTTAACACTGGCATTCACCGCACACAACGTGTCAAAGACAGGCTTTTGTGTCCCGATGGGTGGACTCAGCTCTTTTGCGCTTGAGTAAAAGCACTCAGGGTTACTTGGAGCCAAATAGAACCAAGCACCCAAGCACAAAATATGTTTAATTGTTCTCATTGCTAAGCTCTAGTTTGCTTTTCCTTTAATTGCGCTGGATCTTTTTCTTTCGCTTGAGATTGCTGATCGCCAAGGCGACCCGGAATCTGTAGAAGTCCCAGCGATTCGATCTGTCAGTCTGTGCGACTGTACAATGCAGGATCGTCATTTGAGGTGCTTGATTTGCAGCAAGCTGTAGAGCTCTTTACAATGCTCCAGGCCAAGTTTTTTGAGCTTGGCTGCGTGAAAGACTCGTCTTGGTGCTTTTGATCGCTGCGGCGTCTAAGATCAAGAGTGGGGCTAGAGTTGAAGGTACACAAATGTCACTAATGCTCTAAGGCTAGGGGTTTCAAAACGAGAGCAAAGAGGAGCAAAAGAATGCAAAACGAAAGCGCTTTCGCTTGACCCTGGCGGGTCGAATTTCGCCTGCGCTCCACGCGGCGCCTTCATTCAGCGTGGAGCCCAATAAAGTCATTCCCCTGAGTATGTCCAGGATATGATTCCCCCATTGTTTACCCATTGTGGTGGTGTCCACGGTGTCCCCCATGTCTGGACGGCGATGGGCTGTGCTTGGTTTGTTGGAGTAGTACTCCACAATGTAGCGTAGCCTGAAATGCTGTAAGCCTCTAAATAAGTATTTCAAGTATTTCTCTACGTGTGTCAATTGTTTCGAGTCTCGAGCAGTCTTAGTTTGAGTGCAGCAATATGTATTTTTGGTCCTCACCCGGGGTTGATGCATTCCGTCCATTTTTTGTAAAAATATTTTGTTTAATCTTGGTTTGCTTCGGTCTCGTGCTTCGTTTTTTGTTGTTTGTCTTTTCCTCTTAGGCAGGCCCAACCCCACGAAGCGATTACAAGGCCGTGGCGGCTGTGGGGCGCTATGGACACATAAATAGTGTCGTTGGAGCAGGTTGCTGATGCAAATGATGCACCCAGTCACCTTGCATTGTCTGCATCACCAATCCACCAAAAATCAACTCCGTGGTTGGTGTTGATCAAGTCCACCTCCTTCACAAAGCTCAATGCCTCCGTCGGCCACCACCGGTTTACGTGCACTTTGTAAAGACTCGCTTCGTTCGCAAAAATAGCTGCAGCCTAGCCTATCGGTTGGCTTTAGACAATGTTGGACCTATTTTGTCCTTTCCTTGATTGCTTATTACTTGTAAAGTGTATATTACGAGTCATCCTCTACTTCCGTCCAGCTTTCCCCATTTTGCGTCACCGATGTTCCTCGAAAGACTAGCAGAACTTAATTCAAAGCACACTGGAAGCATGCCGCCAAAGTACCCTCCATCCCTATTCGATTTTGCTTTGTCTGAACAACATTCTTCCTCAGCTGCTTATTGTGGCTTCTGAGGCGTTCGCGGTTTTTAGGGCTTAGGAAACCAGACACCGAGTAAGCACAAAATGTATCCTACCCAAAGATTTGGATTTCTTTGAGAGAACCTGAGAGTAGGAAACCTAGCTGAATGGTTCGCCTGCCTATCGACTGCCCTTGAACCATTTTTAAACGTTTGCAGTGCGTTTTGGGAAAACGGAAATCTCGGCTGACCTCAGGTGGCGCGACCGAAGTGCAGCCTCAGGTCCCTGGCGAAGCGGGCTTTCGATCACTGACCTTGGAGCTCAGACCTTCCAGGCACAAAACCTCCACCTAGTAGCGTCCTTGCTCCTAGTAGTAAGGCCAGGAGCGCCTAGAAGCGTGCTTTCTCCTAGTAGCGATGCCAGGAGCCCCTAGAAGCGTCCTTGTTCCTAGTAAGGCCAGGATCCCCTAGTAGCGTCCTTGTTCCTAGTAGCGATGCCAGGTCCTTCCTCCTAGTAGGGATGCCAGGAGCCCCTAGTAGCATCCTTGTTCCTAGTAGTAAGGCCAGGATCCCCTAGTAGCGTCCTTGTTCCTAGTAGCGCTGCCAGGAGCCCCTAGTAGCGTCCTTGCTCCTAGTAGGGATGCCCTTTGTGGCTAGTAGCGTCCTTTGTTCCTAGTAGCGATGCCAGGTAAGTCCACTGTACAGGATAATACACTGTCATGCTACGAACTTGGTAGGGTTCAGGACTTTTTAGGTAGAAGATTGCAGGGTTGTTTATTCCTCAGGATTTGCGAAATCATGTATTCTAATTGCACAAGAGCGCACAGTTTGCTAGTAGGTTGGAGGCCATCGCTAGGTTGCCTCTTTTCTTCTCCCTTTCCTGTCCTTTGTTTTTGTATTTGTAACATAAACAAATGCTTTGTCGATGAATCGGGTGTGCACCGACTCATCTGTACATCCACCGACTCGACCGGAAGGGTCGCGAGGTGCGGCAAGCGTAACGACCACATAGTCGTCAGCACGACGTTCCAGTCATCCAATACCAGATTAAGACACTTTGGACAGAAGTTAACTCTCAGGATAAATGGATGGAGGCCATTGCTATTAGGTTGAAGGCCATCGCAATTAGGTTGGAGGCCATCGCTAATAGAGGCCATTGCTCTCAGGTGAAATGCTTCTGTTCTTGCAAGGCGTCACACATCATTCGGCGTGGCAGCGGTGCTACGTGCTGAAGAGGACCAACAAGAAGTGCAGTTGCCTTGCTCCTGTCTGAAAGTGGAGACGATGTGCGCATCAGGCACCAAGTGAGGACAATCAACATTTGGACAAACGGTCTTCTTTTCAAATACGAAAGACAGCATGAAAGAAGAAAGGAAGGTCCAAAGGTAAAAAAATCCAGACCGGTCTAAAGGTCTTGAGAACAAAGCAAAAGAAAACAAGAAAAGACGAGGACAGAAAAAAATAGGTTTCGTTGGAAGTTTTCAAGTTGAGAATTTGGAAAGGAGAGGCTGAGTGCATTTGGGATGTCAGATGCAAGTGGGCAAAGCGTGAACAGCATCTTCCAACCGGAATCAGTGCAGATCTCAGCATGTATATCTCAGGGTTGCAAAAAAGACAAAGAAACAAGAAGAATAGACAAAGGGAAGAAAGGTATCAAGGAAAAGCGAAAAGGAGGAACGAAGAAAAGCAAAACACATAAACGGAAGAAGGGTCTAAGAAATCTCTCGGGCTTGTAGATCTTCAGTTTTAGTTCACAGTTACCAGTACTGTACGTGTCGGCACTTGTTCTTGTCGCTGGTGACCATTTCTGGACACCACTCAGCATCAAGCTCGAGGTTGCCATGCGAAGAGAATCCACTTTGTCTCTACAGCTTCCGTTCGTAGCGTCCTTGCTCCGTTCGTAGTAAGGCCAGGAGCCCCTAGTAGCGAACCTTGTTACTACTAGTAAGGCACTTGTTCCTACTAGCTTCTTGTTACTAGTAGCGAGGCACTTGTTACTACTAGCTTCTTGTTACTACTAGTAAGGCACTTGTTACTAGAAGCGATGCACTTGTTCCTAGTAGCGAACATGGTTTCTCCTAGTAAACATTCGCTTCCTTGGAGTGTCCAGACCGTTGACACGCGCCATTACAAGTCGCTTCTGTCTTTGCGCCATGGAAACCCTTGGCCACGAGCACCAGAATCCCGTTCCAGTGGCTTGCCCGAACTGCTGTGATGCTGTACTTTCTTGCTGCTTGAGTCGCTTGGGTGTTCTCATGTCTTCACTTTGGCAGGAATGGGTGGCCGGGATGGTGGGTGAGAGCCCCAGATCACAAAGCTCGGTATGACCACCCCTTGCTTCTAGTAGCGATGGCCTCCAACCTAAGAGCGACGGCCTCCATCCCACATCCCAAGAGCGATGGCCTCCATTCTAAGAGCGATGGCCTTCACTCCCTTGCTCCAATTAAGAACTTCTGCACAAATGCTCTTACCGAACGTAATGCTTTCCACACCTAGAAGCCTTCTTTTCTATCTCGCCTTGGGTCTTGGGCTTGATTGCCCGCCTTGAAAACTATGCTTCTGGTTTTCTTTCTTTCGACCTGAATCGTTTCGCTTCTTTATTCTGATTGTTTATGCTTTTATCTTGCCGCTTTTCCTTTTCTTCTTCATGTTTTTTTGCTTTCTTTTTTTTCTTTATTCTGTTTCTTTAGACCTTCCTTGCTTTTTCTTCTTTCTTGAGTTTTCTTCCCTGATTGACATTTGCTTCTTTGACCCTTTCGACCCTCTATTGCAAGAAGGTTTGACATTTGATTTCTCAGGCAGTCTGTCTGCCACTCTCATGGCACTTGTGATCGTTATCAATGCCGTGGCGGCCAAGCCAAAAGATTCCGGCGAAAGGCCATCATGTGATTTGAGCAATTTGAGCATTCTTTCCAGATTACATGTAAAAAGATCTTATTAGGTTGGAGGCCATTTCTTCTAGGTTGGAGGCCATTGCTATTAGGTTGGAGGCCATCGCCATTGGGTTTGAACATGAAACGCAATTTGACTTACAACACTGCGTGAGCACCAATTCAGCCGTTGAAGAGCGTGTAAGACGCGAGACGCGAAGGGATCACTACCGCACGGGCATGTTACTGAGCTTCTTTGGTGGCCAGCTCTCAGTGGCTTAGCTAACATGTTATTCCTAGTAGCTTCTTGTTCCAAGTAGCGATGCCAGGAGCCCCTAGTAGCGTCCTTGCTCCTAGTAGCAATGCCCTTTGCTCCTAGTAGCGTCCTCTACTTTAGAAATGTTACAAGAGGCTTTGCCACTTTTCTTTCTCAAAGATGATCATGCCGCATGCATGCAATACAGTTGAGATTTTCATTCTTGTTACCAAGGCTTCTGTCATTGCTAGCTACTTTCTGTGGTTCGTGCTCACGTGCTTTGCTTCATGTTGAGCACAGTTGAGCAGCAAGAGAAGAAACATATTTTGCGTTGCTTCATGGTCAATCAGGTTTGTGTTTCTTTAGTCTTGTTCACAAGGAGGGCTTACATCGACCAAAATAAGCCTAGCAGCTTGCAAACCGAAGCTTGTTTCGGAGAAAAGCACATTGGCATATTAGCTTTAACCTCAAACGATTTGCCCTGGAATGCGAGTTTCTGAGAGCGCTACCAAGGCTGTCGGTGATGGTTCCATTCTTTTGGTTCTCTGAGCCAGAGCAGCCAAGAGCAATAAAAGCAGGAGGCGTGGCGAGGGGTAGTGGCGACATTTACAAAAACAGATATCCTAGTTGTGTCATTGGCGCTGCCATCCGAGCGTTTGTCCAATAATGTGCTGTTTCTCTGTTGGCATCAGCCACTCGCCCCAGGTAATATTACTGCCTCCATCAACTTCTGTGAAGGTCCTGATTTTCACCATTCCGATGTGCTGGCAGAGCCAGTTAACGTGTCTGGGATGCGGAAGGGACCTTTTTTCAACAGAGACACTACTGAGTTCTTCGGAACTTCCTCTGTTCTGATCCCATGGTCCCATCGCTCTTTCGAACAGCTCACAGCGCCTTCTTTGAGTCAGGTGGCTACATCGATGCTTTTCTATATGCCGGTTGGTCTCATTGGCCTCCTGGGACCAGCTTGGAAAGAAGGCAAGGCCAAGTCTTCACCTTTCTACTAGGAGCAAGGACGCTACTAGTAGCTCCTGGCCTTATTACTAGTAACAAGGACGCTACTAGGAGCAAAGGGCATCTACTAGCTTCTTGTTACTACTAGTAAGGCCCTTTGCTCCTAGTAGCGATG